TGAATTTGCTTTTAAACTAAACGCACATGTTTAACGGAAAAACGGGAGTCTTTAATTAATTGCTATTGCGAAAAACTGTGTAAAAATTTTGATAAAAGCGAATAAAGACGTGTGATATTTGGTTTTTAAGAACATAAAGGATGCAAGTTTAAGAAAAGAGAGAGGACTGTACAAGGCTGAAAAGACTTTGATTAAAAATTGTCTGTGTGGAAAAGTGTTTAAATATTAAGAAAAATAGTGAAAAAAACCATTCAAATAAAATTCTTTAATTTGAATTGATTTGCCTCCTTTGTATTTCACTGATTCAAAGAAGTAAGTAAAGTGTTTCTTTTTCTAGCATAAACAATGACTAAACACCGGAGAAACTTATGTTTACCTTTGATGAAGATGAAAACGTATCTTCACATAAAGCTATGTTTTGATACATGAGCGTGCGGTGTTTATCACTCTTCTAGGATATATACAGGTCATGAAAAAGACAATAATTTTTTTGATTGTATATGTTTATTTATATGTTTATTGTATATATCTATCATCGTGGAAGGATATAAGTTTATGACTGTCTTTATAAAGTACACGTTAATTCTCCTGATCAACATTCTCTGGGTATTGGAATTTTGTTTGTTTTAAAAGTTGAAATTTGAAATTGAAACATAATTTATTGAGCTGAATGTAAATGAGGTTTTCTTCTGACAAGGATGTGTTGTATATTAAATATAATGTTTTTGCGACGAGTTACATAATGTTTCACAACCTCAATTACGATAAATCTTGAGATTATTTATCAATTTCTGCGCGGTACCAAAGAGATATTAAGGATGTGCAGGAAGACGGTATTCGTCTTTTTCAAAAAACGTGTTTTCTTAATAGTCAAGCTACTACAAAGAGAATGTTAATGAGCTAATGAGCAGTTGTAGTGAGCATCGAGTGAGATGGGGCTAGGGCTGTGTCGATGTTTCTCCGTCTTCAATGAAAATTTACAGAATAAGTTTGGAAAGGTGAACATAGGTACTGCTACCTAACTTTTTAAAAAAAGTTTTTCACAATAATTGGAAGTTACTACGGTTATCAGGAGACAACAGTGATCTGGCTGTTTCTTGTTCTGCATCCTCATACAATAAGGCTCTTTAAGTATTTTCATGGTAGTTGTGGTCATGTTAAAACCTATTTGAGGTGTTAGATAGGTCTCGCCTTGCTCAAAGAGGAGGTTGTGGTCCATATACTTTACAATTCCGCATGAAGATTAATGGGTATTCGCTTTTTCCATGCAAGGTGGGAGTTAAGTTCTCAACGAGACTTCGGTGGCACTGTTCAGAAGCACAGCGAACTTAGCACGTAAAGAACATAGATTCAACCTTCATTTAAAAAAAATATATGCTGTCTCCTAAAAAACATTGCATTGTTTGCTACAGATTAAAGAATAGAGTCAACGGAAGTTTTTTTACTCTGTGGCCATTGAAAATTCATTTAAATGGAGTAAACTGAATTGAGAAATGTAATAATTTGTGCTTTACTACGATGGATATCCAATTTTCGTCGTGAGGCGAAGACAGTTTTTTTCTTGCTTTCCTTCCTTCTGTTTCTTTTCTACTAATGGAAACTTCTACGTTAGTACTATCTGTGATCATAACATCCTTCTACAATAGTGTCAGTGGAATGATTCGCCAATGAAATGTTTGTAATTCTTACCGCATACGACGATTTGATCGTAACCTTGAAAGCTCATATAAAGCTCACACACCCGTATACATCGTTTTTGCGAAAAACTGTTTCATGTTTACTAGTGGGAAGATAAAAATCTTGAGGTTAGCAGTTTTCTTAAAAAAAAGTAAAGAAATTAAAACATTTTTACAAAAAAAGCATTAAACATTAAAAACAAAGAAAAAATTCGGCAACCGGGTATGAAATCATAAAAATTTCAACAAATTCCATCTGAATCATAGCTGCACGCTCCTATTTAAGAAGATGTGCCAAGTTAATGTAAAACGAATTATGTGTACACTGCACTTTGAACCTACTTTTTTTTTTTTTTTTTTTTTTTTTTTTTTTGTATGAACCCACTTTTAACGTATGTGCAGGTTGCATGCGAGTGGTCGATACATGTAGGTATGTACAGCTAAAAGAAATATCTGCATACCACTAATTACTCTCAAATCGGTTTGTGAAAGGGTTTGAAAAAATCTGAATTTCCAAAGTTTCATAGAGAAATAGAGCACTTATGTACCCACTGTTTCTCATATTGCTTATTGCCGGGTATCCTTGATTATCGCAAATTTTGGCGCTTTGGGTATTACTTGGACCCATTATTTCTTAAATAAATATTCTTTCTTTGTTAGCGGACATATCTTCCACTATTTTTTTTAACTAAAGAAGAGACCTGTTCGTCAATACCCTTTCCTTTCCAAATCCGTTACTATAAAATTTCCATTGTGGTTTCTGTAGGTGATTCTTCACCATAGACTTCACGTCAATTGCGGATTCCCGCAAAGACCGTTCCCGCAAAGACCGTTCCAGGACGGACTTTTTGCGTACACTGTAATCTCCAAGTCAAATTTTTTGGGTTCATGACCGATTCTCAAAGAATACGAAGCTTATTTTACACATTCTATTCTCATTATGATATATTACAAAAAATGCATGTTCGCTACTTTTCGGCAGAGACTGAAGAACTTTTGCGTTCAGTTTACGGCCCTGCTTACCGCGTCTGCTTATACAAATAATATGGGCCTCAAAACAGGAAAAATCCTATACCTTAAAAAGCAAGACATTTGATGGAAAAAGTGCAGTGCTTCTGAACGGAGTGCCTTTGGTTACTTTGGTTTTAAAGGCCCAAGTGCCGTGCTCCCTTCTCTAGTCAACTTTCTCTCTCCTAAGGATGGCGTCGTAATTTTTTATGTAGCGGTATTTATTTATTCAGAAAGGCAATGGTAGCTGAAATTCCAGAAATTACTCAGAGGATGTCCTCCATTTATTTAAGGCGATGAGGGTTAGAAAGGAGTGAACAAAGAGAAAGAAGTAGTAACTATAATGATACCTATATCGACTGAACGCTAACTATAGCTGCGACCAAAATCTACCGCAATTGCGATTTGAATCTGTGAACCTTCACTTGGTAGTCGCATCCTTCTAAAAATTATCCCAATCAGGAATATGCTGCGGCTTTGCAAAAATAAAAATTATAACATATTCCGCTCTTTTGGATAAAGTTCAAGTCAATTGATAATTTACGTCTAAGAAAATTCAAACAAACTTTACATTTCTAGTAATGTCATATGATAACTATGCTTTTTACCATTCGGACAACAAGGCTACCGGGTAAGAATAATCGTAACTCCTTTTAGGTTGCTGCAAGAAGTTCATAATACGCTCGGTGGCTTTGTTAGTTATTATTTCTTGATTGTATGGTCGCAATTTACAAAATTATTCTGATGTATAAATGTACCAAATTCAGATTTTTCGAATTATGTTCTGTTATACCAGTTTTGACAACTTCGCTTATTCTGGATTAATTAAGTTTTATGTCGTCTATGTGGAATTATCTTACGTTTACTGCCCTAGATGTTCAGATGCAGGATATGTGAACATATGGACAGTTACCATTAATTCGATCCAATTTTTTATAGGAAGGTTAAAAATATCTGATGGGGTTCACTGCTATTGTTTGTTCTTAACCTGTCTTAAGAATAGGTAGATAACTAAATATAATTGATAGTTTGCCGCTGATGTAAGTATAGAATATCATTTAACAATGCAATTTTTGTGTATGACTTACGTCGACTTAACTTTAACAAATTATTTTAGATAAAAACGTAACAACAAAAAACAACATGTTGTGTATTAAGCGTTGATTGCCATAAAACGTTTACATATTAGTATATATATATATGTATATACAAATGCCGATGAGAAAACGTAAGTTGAGCATGTGAAATGTACAAATGTGTATGTACACACACGTATATATATATAGATACATATGAAACAAACACATGTGCGTTTTTGCATGGCTGCACCTATGCATACTTGTGTATTGAATATTGTATATTTTTTCACCCTGAAGATCAGCCACGAGCATCACGTAGACATTGTTTTTTTTTTTTTTGCGATTTTTTTATATTTTTTTAAAAAGTAAATACGCGTACAGTCAAGTAATCAAAGAATTACAGAAGTACAGGCACAGGTGTTGTTTTAAATTTTATACTCCTTCCTGAGGAATGCATCATTATTAAAACTTTAATTGAAGTAAATTTAATTCTTATGTCATTTGTTTGTTGGTAAACAACTTCTGAGAGAGAAAATCGTAAAAGCCACTCATGCTGGGCATAATCGGCGTTTTCAATATTATTTTGCGGCAATATAGTTGGGCTAGTTTATATTGAACGAAATGTAAATGGTGTCTCGTATAATAAGGCTTCACTGCCAATATGAGTGTGCGAGCGTACTCAAGCGCGTCCGTGCTATTTAAAATGCAAAAAGAAAACAAAATTCAACTCAACACAACACACATACAATGACGCGTTATTAAGTTTCTAGACGCTTTCGCTATAAATTTAATTCGCTGCTTAAGTATTTGTGTGGTCATTTGTGTGTTTTAAATAATGACGAAAAAAAATAAACAAACAAAACGAATCAAATGTCTGACTGTTGTAGAGGACAGGCACGTGTAAGAAAAAATAAAGAACAGCAAGAGACAATAACACGAACAATTTATTTAAATTATTGATATTTGATGCCGGTCTTGTAAAAAATTTGTATTATCAGCATTTCTAACTTGCCAAGCGTGTGTAAAGATTAAATTTTAAAGCTAGTTATAAAAAAAAAAAAAAAAACCAAACGTTAACATGAGGGAGTAATACTTTTTATTTTTGTTATTAAGAATCTGCGAAAGTATAATTTCAAAAGTAATAAAAACTATCGATTGCTCTTAATCTGCTTGTTAGTACCATGACGAGCAAAACGCGGAAGAGACGAAATGCACGATACATACAAACTTATCTTCCTCTCTCTCTCCCTCTCTCTCTCACCCTTTGTATACTCTTATACATATATACGTGCGGTAATCATGAATGATTTATAATCTTTTTGAATGAATGCATGAGTGGTCCTGAGTTTTGCAGTTGACGAGAATAGCGTTCAACAGAAATTGCTTTCTGGTATCTGCTAAATATTCACGAAGTTAGGTGTATCTACAGCTATTGAAGCTTATCGGTAAATTCCGTATTGCTTATGTTGCAACTTTTTTTATTCATCACCATTTTAATTTACTTTCCTAAAAAATTCATACTTTGGGCTACACTGTATGTAAGGCGAAAAATTTAAAATTTTGGCGATTTCCTTCAAAATAGGTTTTATTAGTTTCGACGTATTTGGTATGAGATTAAAAAAGTAAAATCGAGTTATTTTTCAGGTTCAGTACTATTCAATTTTTGTGTTTTGTTTTTTCTTACGGAACATCTTGCTGCATTTTTTACTTGTGAGAAAAGTAGACGAGCAAAAAGCCGAGCGGTAAGACTAACGCAGGTTAGAAATTTGTTCTCAAAGAACTAAAACATCAGATTAAAATATCGCGAATTTGTATTTCTCTTGTATCTGCTTACTAATGAAGTACAACTTCAAATTTGTTAGGATCGTTTGGGGCGGTTTACGTGTGAATCTTCAGGGTCAGCTGATGCGAAATATAGATGTGCTGATAATGAAAACTCAGCTAACTATTGTTCATTATCCCTGGCGGAAGGTGTTCCGTCGAGCAGGCGATTACTGTGCGTGTTCTTTGTATTTTTTTTTATTTCTTTAACTTTCACAATTAGAATGGCACATAAAGCAAAGTATATGGAATATATCCTAAAATAGACGAACGTAGGAAAGTTTGGAAATTAAGAAGATAGTAAGTTTAGCAATATAATTTACGAGAAAGTTCATCAAATATAGGTGGATGGCGAGCCTGAGGGAGTGCTAAACTGCTTATTGCACTTTTACCCCGATATCTTCATTGTCCTCCGGACGCTTTATACTCTTTTGTACCATATCGTTATTAATTTAAGCAGCGAATACGTCAGAAGTAACAGGCATCACTATATTAAAACATTTTATTGCATTGAGTATGCGGCAAAAAATATTTAATTTCTGTCGTCACTAGAACTTCTTCAAAATCCTCAAAAAATCGCAACACTTTGTTCTTATCGCTACGTTGTTGGTTGTACTTCGACGTACTATAAACAAACGCATTACATTACATAACCCTAACCAGCGATTAGTCTCTCAAGACCACATTATTGATCGTCAATGTGCGTGTGCTTAGGTTTATTATTATCGTTGTTTGTTCATATATTAGGGTCATTTCCTCGAAGTGGAAGCGACTTTATATGTTTTTTCTGTTGTTGCTTAAACAATGAATTTTCATATATAACTAGAAGCAGACTTTGGTGTACAGTGGGGCCTGTTCTTATGCGACAAATTTCATGCGAGTGCGAAGTAAAGTTATATCCGTTTTATTGTAGGTTTTTTCAAAAAGCAAAAAATAAAATATTATTAACAACGGCGCTCAGAAAGAATAAATGACAATAATTGCTTTCCTCCCTTTAACTTTTTTGTGTACGATTACATCACTCAAAAAAGGACTTTAAATCCAATTAAATTCTATTCGTAAGCATGAATATGTAAAACGTGTATATCGTAGAATAAAGCGAATGAAGAATTAGAGTTAGTAAAGATGAGATATCTTATGTCATTGAGAAAATGTTGTTACATAGCAAATATTTCGAAAAAGATTAAAATTAAGATAATTTTTAAAAACACCCTCCCTTAGGATATTGTTTGTAAGGCCAACACTTTTACCTTGCCTTAAAAAGGAACTCTCTATGCTTTGCATGTATAATCCGGAAAAAAGCCAAAGTTTTGAAGGATAGTTACCACATGTTCTCCATACGAGGGAAGAATAGACCAATTTCTTTAATTTCATTAAGACATAATGTCAAGTTTGCTTTAGCAGGTTGATGCGGGCATAATTACTACTTTAAAAACTTTAAGCTTTTATACGAAATCCGTTCTTTCTAACGAATTTAATTAGCAACGTCTTGTTTTCTAATTTTCATAAGCTTTTGTACGCAGTTATAGGTTGATTTACAGATTGCGGTATTTAACAAAATCATAGAACTTTTTCTGTGACATATTTGAATTACGCATTTTTCGGCATGCGACGCATGAAGCAAGACTTGACTGTTACGAATGCTTTCGTATTTGATTATTAAAGTGTTATAATACAATCTACCTCTGGGAAAGTATGGAAGGTTATCGTACCACTTATTACCTTATCGCTATTTATGCTGCGGTCGCAATAAAAGTTTTCATTGAGTTTTGACATGGATAAGAATTTGAGGCACTAGAGTTTGAAACATTCTTTTTTTTAGTTATAAATTAAAAACTGAAACATGATTGATGGATGGATGATTTTGTGGACGTAAAAGTTTACTTAATATTTTTTAAATGCGATGATTTGCGATAGGTAAGGTAACGTTGCGACTTAGTAACTTTATAAGATTCCTAAAAAAACAATTGACCTTTACTTCATATTGAATCGCTAAGCTTGGCTTTTCCTTGCAATTCCCAGGCTTAAGTGCCAGGTAAATTGCAAAGGAATATTTTCGATTTCCATTGCCGTTTGTTTACCGCCACGTAGCTTATTCTGCCTTTCCCTTCCTACATTTGCATGTGTATTAAAATATTGGTGAATAGTTTCTGACTAACAAAAACGAAAATTAAAAACGATCGTTACGCATATAAAATAGTTTTTTAAAGGCGCAGTTTTACTCACGAAGCGCTTTACTACTTCCTCTTTCTTACATTCACAAAAGAAGGAATATTAAGTAGCAGAAGACTATAACTTTAGAGACCTTCTTCGGGGAGATACGATAAATCACCGAAATAGTTGGAAATGTATAATGTTTTGAATCGCGTCTGCTTTCGCAAAATATTTTTTCCTGTACGTTCAAAGTTAAGAATTATTTTCGTACTTACTCATTTCCAACGAGAAATTATTGTCACCTTGTCTTTTGAATGTGCCATAACAATAATAATGTTTATAAACGTGACGCAATTTATTTCCAATTATTGATAATCCATCAAATTTGATTTGACTTGAAAAACCTAATTCGCCCAAAAATTCATTTATAACATGCCACAGACCATAAAAGTTAACAACTTAAATTATTTCTGTCGGCATTTACGGTAGATAAACTCAATACAAAAGCGGTGCTAATCAAATACCTAAGCAGAAATACATCAACGAAATTTTTTATAAATTTTTATGCAATCATTTCATTTTGATTTAAATGTTTTTGACGCTTATTCATGTAAATCAAGAGTAGATAATACCGCAAGGGCCGGTACAAGTTACAATTAACGTATTTTAAGTTACATTACGCAGGTGTCATAGAGATATTCGTTAATCATCGTTATATATGATACAATTGGTCATTCTCTTAAGAAAGTATTTTTTATTTATTGTTTATTTTTAGCTATTTACCAATACTATGGCTCCTACCATATGTTCTGGGAAGAAACAACCAAGCCGCACACTTAGAAACGATATTAGACGTCGTAATAATTCATCAAATGCAGTGCCTTCAAGTGTCTTCAATTACAGTAAGTAAATAGCGGTACGACTAACATAAAATTTATCACACAAAACAAAAAAATAGAAGTCTTTCCTCATCTAACCTAGTTTACACTGTTAACATTTTTAATTATACTAAATTATTCAAAAACAAATTCACAACAATCGCGGACGTACTGAGTTCAATATTTTCAAAATTTCGCTAATTCAATGGGGAAGTAATTGTATCTTTCTTTACTAGATCTTTCTGAGTGTTGCGTATAGGCGTGCAAACTTAACATACTCTTACACCATGAGGTGTAGTGTATAAAAGTTGCGCTCGGTGATTGAATCTTTTATTACTTATTACCTTAAAAGGGCATAAATGACATTTCGATACTTAACAATGTTGGATGACACTGGTCGCTTTTCCATTTTTGGACAGGCATTATAGAATCATTCAGAGAATATACCTGCAAATTTTGATCGTTGTTTCCAGGTTTACCAGTTGTGTGTGTGTTTATGCGTAATGAGCAAATCCAATTTTTTTTTGTTTTGAAAACAAAAGTGTTTTCAGCGTATGTTGTCTTGTAGGCATTTCGTTTAACAGGTTGATGCCACGTTGTACACCAAGCTGTGCGCAAAACCTTTCAATACACTTAAGCTCGACGTGATAACTACGAAAAGAAAATCGAAATAATTTCTTTTAATTATTACTTTTAGTTTGAAAATAATCTGTCGAATAAAATATGAAGCGCTTGGCAATCCTTGCTGGTGGCGGATGTCTCTGAACAAGGTGAATTTAACGACTTTAGTGCATACATTCTTCTTATCGTACATACACGTATCAATAACTGCCAACAGGTTTTATGCACCACTTACGATAACGGCATAATCTGTTTACGTGTGAATACAAAAACCAGAACGATTTACTATAAGCCCAGCTATCGCTTCGAATTATTTTGAGAATCATTTACTGAATTGACTAAAGCATATCTGCTTTTCTAGTACCTGTCCGCGCCATTTCAATCAACAAGCCGCAATATTCTATATATTTTTAGAATTTTGTAGAGGGGGATCTTTTGGTTCAAGTTCAAAGCCAGGAGGGATTTTCGATGTCAGACTCCATACACCGCTCCTTTTGAAAAAGTCTTGATACGAAACCAATTTAGCATTTAATTTCTAAAAATATTTCGAAAAAATCATGAAAAAGAATAAAAAAATATACAACGTAAGAAAAAGGCCTGCATATTAGAGGCCGTGACCAAACTTAGCAAAGTTAATTCGCTTCCTAAATATTTTATTATTTTTATTTTCACTTTTCGTCATAAAAAAACTACAAATTCCACCTTGTATCCATATTAAGGGCGTGCTTTTGGTGAATACACCTATGTATGTTGGCGCATAAAAAATTGATCTATGTGATCCAAACTTTCTACCGTTCATTTTTTTTCCTAATTTGCTACTGTAGATCAATTTTCATCATAAAATATTTAAAAGTAAACCTTCTTCTGAGGGGCTTACTATTTAATTTGGAACGTCGAAATGATATTACTCGGCGACTTTTGTCAAGAAATTTTGACAAAAACGAAGACATGGCTCGACATGAACCATTTCCTATAGGCTTCGTCCTCTGGTCAAAGCACGTCAGTGTACCAAATTTCTAAAGAGATAACTGTTTTGTTCTTTTTAATTCAAATTTTGCGTAAATTTTGGGACGCTCTACATAATCGGGTCTGTCGTACGTCCCTCTGAGTGTTACATACGTCCGCACAAACGTAATATACCGTATACCAAAAGCCTATTTTATTGCTATTATTTTATAATGCAAATCGCTCCAGAAAATTAATTTTACATATAAATTTGCTATCTTAAACTCGGACCACAAAGGTTTATGTTTCTATTAATTTTTTTTATTCAAATGAGGATTCTCTTGACAAGTAAGCCTTTATACGGCAATGAAAGTATAATTTTTAATGTTTGAAGGCGAAGACACTGGAAGTGTTGTATTAATTTAATTACTATCTAATGATTGGTTATGCCTAACTTGCTTTTCTTAAATTCGGGCTTGTCGTTAAGCCGATATAAAATTTCCAAGACGAGTATCTTTCGAAAATGGTCTAAGAAGAAGGCATTCGATGAAGCGATAACAACGTCGTCGGTCTAGAAACTTAACCCTTACAAAAGGGTGCAAACATTGGCCTAATGCGTCTATGGTAGTTGAAGGGGCCACAAAAGTAGTAGGGATCAAGACATTTGTGCTTAGACTAGGAAGGAGACGATGCGTATAGGTAGATTGTTCTTTAACTTTTTGATCACAAAAGATGTACCTTTTAATCTTTTCTTCATTTCTAATACGAGTGGAAGTACCATTATTACTATCAGTATTAATTTATTTGCGTACGTATTAATAGTGTAGTCCGTTCATTAATCAATTGATGAAATGAAATTATTGTAAGCAAATATTATTATTATTATATAGGGTCGATTATGTACACGACATATAGTGCGGACATGTGCTTGTAAGTCAGGTTTTACGAACACATGTACTATTTATTTACTTTTATTCCGTATCAGTAAAGCACATGCTTCAAAAACCAAAAAAGTAATAACACTTTGAGCTAATGTTACTTAACGCGATCTAGTGCAGTATAACGAAATTACTGAACAATATTATCGGAGAGAGATTTAATTATATTTTTCATAAAAAAGTCGCTGCTTAATACAAATAATTGCCATTCATGGACTATGAACGCAAGTAAGCTTCTGCAAAAACTATATTTATTGAAAACGTCAAGGAAGCGAGTAAAGAGGGGGTGGAAAGAAAGAAAGCAAAGAAGAAAGACAGAAAGAGAGAGCAAGTGCCAGAAAGTAGTCCACAGAGAACGTGTACATTTCCATAAAGTAAAGCCACTTTGTTTTTAATGTGCTTTGGTAACGTGTAACGTGTTTGCTTTGCAATTAAAATTGCATTTGTAGGAGAGTGCACAAAATTCTCTAAAGTTATGAAACACAAAATTCTCACAACAATACCAAAAACAACGGTAACCGAAACAGTCATAGTGTTTTCTGTTACTGCAATAACTCTGAAAACACGTGCATGCGATTGTTGTTGTTATCATTGGTTTTGTTGTGTTATGAGGCATAAAATACAACGTAGAGACAGACCATTGATATTGTTGTATGAGTGCATATTCGTTGTTTATTTAAGTCAGCACATGTTTTATGCACTTATTTGCAAACGCAAACACGCCGGTGCATACCCACACTGGCGCACTTGAATAGGCATTGTTACTATAATTATTTCCGTTAGATTTTTCATCTATTGTTATGCCCAAAGTCAGAGATGATGTATCATATAGTAATTTTTATTTTCATTTTTAGCACTATCACCTGAAGAAGATATAAACAAAAATATATATAGATAAATTATATATATATACTTAATTCGTTCGACTAATTCCAAAGAGGTAACTATGCTTAAAATTTAAATAAAACCAATGGGGCAAACTTCCATTAGTATATAGAAAAAGCGTGATTGTATACAGCAGCAAATTTTATTGCAGCTTGGTTTTGTTTGCCTTGAGTTGGATTTGGGTGACTGGCAAAGGCTTCAGAACAGATTACCGTTGTAAACAAAGTACTAAAGTGCTCATTTAACTTAACTTGAAGAAACTCAAAACAGAAAAATTTAAGGTTAACTTTGTTTTTGTAAGCAAAATTTTAAGTTTGTTACCGTGTTTTTAAAAGGCGGATTAAGCGGAGATAGACACACTTCGATATATTATGTTTATCAAACAAATCTATGCACATACATCAATAAAATGTTAAAACAATCCAATCGAAATTCGACTCGCCTTTTTTGGTTTCTCTGTTATAACCATCACTGAAAGCGGGCAGTATCTATCCTTGCCCGAAACTTTTGTATTACCGTAATAGAATCTCCACAAATCATAGCACACATATCCATGGTCAGCATTAAATTCTGAACTGATTTAAGAATTTCCATTTGTCCGTCTGCATATCGCAGTAAACATTTGCTTAACTGAAAAAATCATTGGAAGATTTTACACGCTGCTTGGCATTGAAAGTAAGGCAAATCGATTAAGGGACACGCTTACAGCCTAACGTGTACTAAGAACACTTCTTCTAGAAGAAATCAACTACGCCAATATTGAAGAGTGTGGAAATTTAGTTTTACCTTTTTTGCGTTAGTATTTTTCAAGCCAAATATGGTGGGTATAAAACATTCGATTGCAGCTGAATATACAAATTTTGTTACTCATTTCCCTTCTGTTTGTTTTTATTGCTTTTGCTTTTTTGTATGCGATGGTATGCGCAAAGTGTGTACACATTTCTAATTTTCTTGTTACATGACAAAGCTTCACGTTTCTTAAAGTTTATTTATTAAGACCCTCTTAATGAGAGCAGCAATTATGTCGGAACAAATAATAACAATTATACGTTTTAGAGGGGCTTTCTGTTGTTTTATTTTATCCTTATAAATAATATTACTTTCACAAATTCTAATTTTTTTGTAAGCGCTCAGGATAATTATTTTCAACAGAGTCTCATCTTACTTTTAGTCCTACAATTTATTTCTCCAGTTCAAATAAATTACAGTCGTAATAATAATAATAAATAAATAAAAAAAAACTTAATAAAGCAATGAAAAATAAAAAAAGTGCGGAAATTAAATTCGGTCCTGACCGAATCTTGTATACACATCATCGTTCTCCTAAAAAAGACAAAACAAGTTAGAATATCATGTTGAAGAATGTTTACCATAAATATCACGCAATTCCGCAGAGAGTCGGACAGACGAACAGACGGATATAATTTGAAGCCGGCTAAGAATTTATATAGTTTATCGGGGGTTCAGAGGTTTTTACGCCTTATAAAGGTATTGAAAAAAAGTAAATTTTGTTGCACTATATTATTAGGTAGGCGTGCTCAATTTTTCCCATGTTTTGTACACGTCCTACATTATCGCCCATAGAAGATACGGTCAAATTTTTGTGCATTCATCTGCTATAGTTTATGGGTAACGAACAAATCAAACTTTTTATTCCGTTTGGAAAGCAGTGGTGTTTTATGTTTACGTAATGTTGTGGGCATGCCCTTTGACCGAAGAATATATATACTTTGAGGGATCCCTGATTCTTCCTTCTGGACGTTGCAAACGTTTTGAGAAAATGATTATACCCGTCATCTATCGGTGATGGGCGTAAAAACAATATCAATAAATATCAAACGTCTGGTGGAAAAGCATTGATTATTCCGAACGTCCCGCACATCAAAATGCTTGACCAAATTAATCAAAAGAAGGTCTAGCCGCTATGGATGGAAATATCTCTGATAGATGTTTGAGTTTGAAATTTTACAGGCAATCTCCTGACGGTCTGTCTGTCCGTCTGATATCTATCCAAACTGCAGCAGGCAATATTTCCATGAAATTTGGTACGATGACCTAAGGACCGACGATATTCAAAATGGTTCGGATCGGTCGAATTTTTGGACCACTCCCCGTATAACACGTTATTCTGAAAAATTGTTACACGACAAAAATTCTAATTTTCAAAATTTCTCAGCAAAGGTGGCAAAGGAGTAGTATTTTGCATTTGAAATTGGTATGGACAATGGATTGAGTTGATTTGGACAGGCTGGGGCAACTTTTGAGCCTTCTCATATAACAAAAACTGAAGTTTACAAGACAAAAAGATATAATTTTCAATGCTTCATGAAGAAAATAATAATAGTAATTTAACATAAAAAAATTAATTGGACCTTCTCGGCCAATTTTTTTGGATTCTACCCTAATAAGCATTTTCACGAAAATTGACTCTTTGTAGAGCAGAAAACTCAATTTTTAATATATGTGAAATACTTGTAACTATTTCTCGTGAAAAGCTTTTAATGAGAAAAGGCCTAAAATTTCGATTGACGTGGTCCAAATTTGGCAAATACGATTTTTTTTTTCTCTCTTGTAGGCCAGGTCCCAATGAATACCCTAAACCCATAGGACAACCCTTATAATTTTGATTTATGCTTATCCAATAGCTTGGTAGTTTTAGGCCAGCAGCCTTTTAAGTAAATGATCGATTTCTGTAAGTCTCGCGAACTTAACACTCTCATTTAGTTCCATAAGTCTTACGTTCTGATCAAAACTTTAGTTCTTTAGTTCTTGACTAATATTGAAGTCGTCAATCAATTTGGCAACTTTGTCTTTTTTTTTTAGCTCGATCAGACACCCATTCTTCTACCCAACGAACATAACTTTGTTCTTGTTAACGGTAAAATGAATATTTTTAAGGACCATGTAAACACTCAGTATAGTGTTCACGTATCATCTCACACGAACCTTAAAAAGTTACCTCCATCTAATAGTTTCATATGGCCGTGAACGCTAACACCGTATATCCCAGACATAAGTTAACCTGCTGACGTGCACAACGCTAGTCACCAATCGATCGGATGGCAACAATATGCTGAATAAATACTAATGCCAGTTACTACTCGCTATTAAAATAATCAAAATAATCCATTTAGAAAGTCGTTTCGCTGGAAAAAACAGGTTGGGCTGAAGATGTGTTTGAACAAGTCGTTAGATGTGCCTGTTTTGTCTCATGCGAAGCAGAGCATCTGCTCCTCATTAATAGGCTAGAAAATATTCGATAAGATCGCTAGACGCAACTACAACTTCTGAAGGTTTCTTGATTTTAACTAAATCGTAAATAAACACATTAATTATTTTTTTTAACAAACATGTACTAAAGTCTCAATGACAGGGGACATCAAAAAGTTTGTGTGGCTAATAATCAGAAGCGAAAACATTTCCATCCTAATAAACTGACGCTAAGAATTATTTGCAGCAATATCGATTAAAAGCATAACAAAGTCGGTGACAGATGGATTAGGCTTTGTGATCCGTTTTCTTCGCCATTTAGGACTGGCCCATCAATATTCGAGACGAAACGGTTTCATTTTTGGTGCGTAATGTCAATTTTCAAACGCAGACCTGAGAATTCGTTGAATGATATTCTTCCGCTTACGTTAATGTTATAAAAAACCTTATTTAAAAAAAGATATCGATAGCCTTTCTGACTGTTTAAAGAAATGAAAGAAACTAAAATCAAGAGTAAACATCCAAGTTTTTGTACTTTTAATTAACAGCAAGAGGAAGAGTTTTAAGGTTAGCTTCTTCTAATCCATTCATTTTTCGTTTTCTTTCCCTTTTAATTTCTTCAAAAAAAAAAGGATGGCAGGTTAGAAAAAGCAGTAAGTTTTATCACTGTAAATAAAAGATTTTCCTCCTTCATAACTTAACTATTCATATAAATTATATATATATATATATTATGTAATGTATTGAATTATGCATTTATGACAATTAATTATACGGATTTGAAATGAAAGATCACGTGTACAATCACTAAGAACCGTTAAAAATATCTACTTGGCATTCATCTTCTAGCTTTTTTTCCTTATTTACGTTAATTGTTTCATTTACATCTATCTCAATGGAAGTGCAGAAAAAATTATAGTTATGACTATATTAACCGTTATTCAAGAATGTTTAACAGCGATCTCATTGCAAAGTCATATGTAAAAAGTGATTCAGGTTTCAGCTTGTGGTTACCTAACGGTTCTTAGCGTAAAGAGCAACGTGCTAACAGCTTTTATACGTATGTTTACATGGTTAAAAGGTAAATTCTTGTAAATCACATTAAATGTGGTATTGAAAAATTCCAACTCATGTCACGAAACCAGTTTTAGAATATTCTGTTGCATAATTGTTAGCAGTCGAGTGTATGTACGTGCAGATATACTGATAAATGATGGATAGAAACGCAAGCATTTGAAAGTTGTTTTCATTAGATACTTACAACTTTAGATTTGCATTTATATACTTATAAAAAATTTATCATAACATTTTTATCAGCTTTGTAAGTGATCATTATATAAGAAAGTAAAGAAAAAAAGTAGAATGTTTAATGAATATATTAATTAAATATATCTCTAGAAGGTATTGTTATTTCATTAACTACTGTTATAAATAATAACGGTAAATAAGCGAATAATGACCGTTCAAGCTGTTCTTTGATTTTCTATTCCTCATGCAATGATAGCTGGACAAGTAAAACATTATAAGTATGTTCAATTCAAGAGAATTGACAAAGTGTTAAGCTTTCTCTCTGTTGAGTCTAATCGTCTTAACATCTAAGTTATACTACTGTGATTAAGTGGTAACATAAATATATACAGATATACACATTCCAAGAGTTAGTTTTTCGTCTTTCAAAGAATAGACGTGTGGTGCAATAGTGACCTTAGCAAGTATATATATTGACATATAGGCCTGATCTGAAAAAAACTAAACACCTTTGAAATTTTGCAAATTCGCTTGATATGGCAGTTACCTAGGATTAGCCATAAAAACAAACCCATCGTTCTCTTCTGATTATTTTTAGTTTCAAATCATTGACAAATGAAAATGAAACAATGTTGCATTGTTGGCAAACGCGCCATACATATACTATAAATGTTTTGCGCTCTTTCCTCAAAAAACACTAAAAATAGTGCACATTTAATATTTTATTAACTTTTAATAAATTTGCTTTTAAATGTTTGCCAAATGTTTATTAGCCTGTTTCAGCCATTTTTCCTTTAAATGAAATACCAATTGCGCCAACTAGTTGATCCAATCTACCTTCTTAGAGCTTTATGGATATTTTATATAAACGCATTCAAAATACTTTAAAAAAATGGATATAAAATACTACATTTAATCAAATATATAGGAGTTCTATGCCATTGAGTGCCAAAATGCAAAGCATAACGCTATCACTTCTATGTAGCCGTCCGTCAAAAAATACAAGAAGTTGTTTTAAATTTATATGATTTTGGGTGAATGGGCATTTTAACCTGCGTGGTCATTTAATTTGCACTATGAAACCTTGAGCAGATCTTTGCGCGACTGTAGTTCTTGCCTTTTAAGATCTCCCACATGATTCCGGATTAGCCAATTCTAATTATCCTCTCCCAAGATATATGCGTCGTCAACTGGCATGGCCTGCTTCACGCCCTCCCCAAATACTACTTCGCAGTATTTTACAACCTAGCTGATTCGGTTCAGCTACATTTGAAGGAAATATTTGCTGCCAGGTTATACACAGCCAAACTTTAAACTCTTCTTAGTCAATAGCCGACTGTCTTGTGGTCAGTACGTGAAGCTAGGGTTTTCGGCTATGCCCGAAGCGTAGTTTAGCTGGCCGCCATTGAGTATTGTGTGTATTCCATGAATATCGTCATAGTCGTAGCAATCTTTCTACGTGAACTAAAAGCGACATTATATTATGCTAGAGAGGCAAGCAAAAATATTTACATTGCATTTACATACAGTTATGTATTCCAAGACCGCATTCACAACAACAATTACACACAGCTTAGCAATTCCATTTTGTGTATAATTGCCTACCATTATAACTTAATGGTTAACCATATCTTCCATATCAGCTGTGTTCTGCTTACAATCAATTGGCTGCTTAGCTTATTATTCAACACACAATTTCTGTCTATATACAGAAAAAGGGTTAAGATTAAGTGTTGACAAATTCTTATTTTCATTCCATCAATAAAATCTTATAGAAATCCAAAATTTTTCTTAACTTACTAAAATGTTGCTTGCTTACTAATATGTATTTTGCTTGGTTTTGCAGTAATGAAAAGTTCTTTCAAACCCCGTGAGGCTGCTGCATTGGGCATTTCTTCGAGCAGCGCTTTGCAAGCTTATCCATCTGTGCAATCAATTAATAGTCGATTGACTAAAATTTATTCAACACAACAAATATCCGACAAAGTTGTGTCTTCTACAACACATAACGATGAAAGCGATAAAGATAATGATCTAAACGGGAGCTTAACTAATGAGTATTCATTATCATCGAGCTTATCTTCGATAAGAACTGTATCCTCAACGTCAACCTCTAGTTTATATTCGTTTGGAAGAAGAAACTCCGATACATCGCAAAGTCAAATGTCATCACGTGATGATTGTGATGCGAATGAGCATAGCGACGTGCAACAACATTTCCGTGGCGATAATAGCAGCATTCTTCAGGCTAGCAATGATGAAAATGACGCCGACAATGCATATAGCGATGAGAATGATAAGGAAAGTAATGAAGATGACAATTACAGCAATCGCAATGAGCGTGCTATATCTTTCAGGAATGATGCCATTATTATTGACAAAGAGCACATCATGAATGTAGAATGTGTAGCATTAGAGAGACTAGATAGCTCGAAAGAGAATCAAAAATTTCGCCAACAAATAAGGAAACCATTTCGTTTATATCAGAATACCAAACCTTTAGCTGAAATTCGAAACACCGAAGGTTTATTATCAATTGCCATAAAGACCATAAAGTTAGTAAAGCGTAATCAGTTACTGCAACAGCGCCTAAACCAACTGCAAATGGAGACGTCAGAATTTATACAGTCCGTTCTAAATAATCCGGAAAATAGACACTTTCGCGAAAAAATCCAACAGAAGGTGGCGAACATTGAGAATGCTTGAAAAACTTGAAAATGTTGATAAACATTGTTCCCGACATGGCATGATGCTAAGCATGAAAGCACAATTTCTAAAAACTTGCAACCAAAGCTAAGGTATCTAAGACAATTACACTGAGAAATTCTTCAGTAGAATAAATTTTTAGGCGTATGTTTTCATATTTTGAGTCCATCCTTCGGATTTATCAGAAAACACAAACAGCCTGTTCTGTTAAATATAAATATACCGTTTTTTCCTTTTTTTTTTTTAATATTTAGTCTGACAAAAATTTTTGCGGGCTGGAATATCCTTCTTATTGATCGGAAAATATAGCCATAAGGATATCCCTAGTCAATTATTTAAGTATTCTCAAAAGAGCGTAACACAAACAAATCAGTTGTATGCGAATAGCGAGAGGTAATCTCTTTTAGACAATTTATGAAACGGTAATAAAATGGAAAATTGCGTTTATGATGATGATGGATGGAGATTTAAAATAACTTATGGCTAAATCATATTACAGAACTGATTATTTGATAAATCTATATAAAATATACATTAACTGTTAAACAGAGCTGTAAATCTTATTGTATCTACATCTTAAGTGTGCAACACAAGAAAATATTAATATATGTTACATAAATAATAAATAATAAAACACAAACAAATAAAAAATCAAGTGCGTTAAGCCTAAGACATATTAAATAAATTTAAAGTGATTATATATCAGAAAACTTGAAAGCAATTTTAAAAAATAATTGTATATTATAAAATCATTCGTCTTTATGAACACTTGTTAAATTTATTTACTTATATTAAATCGGCTCTATATACATGTTCAATTTAACTCACAATAATTTTTAAAAATACTGGAGGAAGTTTTAATTATTCAAATGTGAAGATTCATGACATTTAAAGTCGAAAAAATGATTATTTTGCCAATATTGCGAACTAATTACGAGTTTGTACATTTTAGGTGTTTGAAATTCTTATAAATTGTGTCTTTATTTAGCAAAATATTGCAAATTAAAGGCTAGATCGTATTCTATTAAACTTTTGTCTTAACATCACACAACATTTTTATTATTATGATTCCACATTGAATATGTTGTTCAGAGTATTAAGCAATTGCTTCTATATTTTATAATGTTTGAACGTTAATGTTTTTTTTTTTTTGTAATAAATATATTAAAGGAGCATAACATTATACAATTAATGGTTTTGCGTTAAAAAATCATTTAAGCAAAGACAAATACAATTGAATATTATATAAATAATGTCGTTCAATTATTGACAAAAAAACAACAAAAGTTTACATTTTAAATGCAATATAACATCTTTGATACTCTAGTTGCGGATTTTTGAAAATAGCGTGAAAATAAATTCCAATCTGCTTGTGAATTAGTCAAAGTGTGATAGAAATTGTATAGAAGTATGGAAGCTGGCGTTCTTTGCTGCATTGGTAATCAAAACAAACATTTTCATACATTCGCAAAGTGTGAATTTCACTTGAGTTTTCCAATACATCTTTGCTTTGCACTTATCCTTATAATGAGATTTCTTTTCCCGTTTCTTTGCCTTATTTCCGAAAAAGTAAAAAAGCATTATCGCCAGTGATTAAAATCAGACAATAATAAATCGTTAATACAAGCGTGCATGCTAGTTTACTTTGAAACCTTCCTTCAGAGGCAGACTAATATTCAATCGTAAGAAATCTATAAAAATCGATTGAACCTAATTTCACTGAAATCATATTTTGATTATTATTTATAGCAAAAATATAAATAAAATATTCTCTTCTTCTCTCTTTTAATATTTTTTAAAGAAACGTAATTATAAAATGATGTTCAAAATATAACGAGACTTATCGTGCCCCTAAGGATAGCTGGTTAATTATTATTTATAATTGGGCAGCTTGTTGAGAAAAAGGACTGAGATTTTTGGTTTTTACTTTTAATTTGATTGCTATATTGTTTTTAATTTGCCATATTTGTAATAATTTTATTTTGTTTTTTAGTAACGTCGCCGCTCATTCCTATTCACCGCAACTTTCCTATGGGTCTTCTATTTATTTTTAATTTCTTCGTAAATTATAATTTCCTATAA